ACCTTCACAAAACTCCTATCCGAAGCCAGGAATGTCCCGGAACTTCGTCACCGCTCAAATGCCTTCACGATGCAAACTCTCAAGAACTCCGCTCACTTAGCACTTCCGACGCTTCCAAGTGTAGCTTCCACATATCTTTTAAAGACCGCCACAATATTAATCGCAATATAGAGACGCACAGAGAGACGTACATATAAAGAATCTGGACAAGTTCATTTTATGACGCGTTGACACTTTCGCCCGTTGCTTCCTGTTAGTACAGAAAGCAAGCCTCGACCGGCGGGCCCCGTACGTTATTTGCGCTTTTCTCACGTTGACCGGAAAGCATACGCTATGGGGGTCTTAGAAGATGGCGGTGGCCATGACAAGCTCATTTGAAAGCATTCAATATTCATGATACGTTGTAGGCTGCAAAAGTCCACAGACTAGTTGCTGACCTAGTTCGATTGCTTGGCTTGCCGTCCGCTTGCCAAAGAATATTCTGCACTTGGCAAAGCTGAGCGAATCAGCTTTTGACAGACTTCGACGGAAAGTGTTGGACGTCCGACGATGGTGAGCTTCAAGGCTGGACTGTAGCCAAAGGCGCTCCTTATCTGTGTGCCCAGCTTTCAAAAGGCTCGAAGACAAGGATCTTATAAATTTTCACCCGTTTTTGCGCCCCTGCTGGCGAAGGCGTCTGCTCCTGATCACCATCATCTTCACATCAAACCCTTAGCGGTCGGTCAGGTAGAGGAAGGAAGGTCACACGTACGGAAATGCTTGCTGAATCTTCTCTTTCTTTGCCAGTCGCACGCACCTTCGGGCTTTTCGGCTTGAGATCGGTAATGATGAAGGAAGTTGGCGGCTTTGCCACACAGGCCATTTGCGTACATTCCTCGAAGCCATGGAGAGGCATTAAGCACATAATATACTACCCCGGTTCAGTCTCGCTTTTTAGATTGCGACTTTGAGTTCTGAACAGGTTGACGAAGTGTCTCTTGGGTGCTTTGCCGTGTGTGTATTTCTGCATTGACTTGTTGTCACGTCTCGCGGTACATGACCGTACTGGTGAGGGATGGACAGAAGGCTTTGTTACTAGTCATAGCACTTCTCTCGCCCTCTCTTTGATACTCTGCGAAGTTAGAGACTGCACTTAGTTCACCACAGAGCACCGTTCGAGCCCCGTTCTAAGTCGTGATCGATCTCCCTAGACGATCACACCGGCGTTTTACAACCTAGCGCCGGGCCCGGGCAGTGAAGGACCGGAAAGATCACGCAGTCTTTGGCAGCACGCCGCCAAGCATTATATTTCAGTGGTACGCATGGACAGCTGATGCCGCAGCCGTTTCGCACAAGCCATGCGCACTTTCAATTCATGCCCAACGTTGGACGCCATGCTACCTTTGTCATCGCCTTCCGTTGATCACGTTCCGGTGTACAGCTTCGACTTTATACAACAGCCGGACAACTATCTTTGATCAATAACTTGGCAGAAACCTTTGACGCCAACCGTCAAAGGTGGTCTACCGCGCACAGCCGCTACGGCGCCAGGGGATGGTTCCTTTTGACATCGGACATGCGCGAGCGCGCGGCGCCGCGCCCCAGGTTTGGCGGCGCGACCGACGTTGCATGCGCGTCTTGCGCAACCGCGCGCACCGCGTCGCGCATGCTCGTGCGCGCGCGCAGCCGCCGGCCACCTTCTCGGGGAAATGCAGGAGTTTACTCATGTGTTGGTAATCAAATTCCAAAGGACGTGCACAACAGCCTGGATATGCTGTGCAATCCTCCAAATTGCTTGGGCAGTGGTCTGCCGCTCCTTATAACGTCGCACGCCATGCGAAGTTCTGATAAGTGTTAGCACGTTGAAGGCACGTCTATTTGTTGGATCCTTGTAGCGCATCTCGGGTAGTTGAGCTTTTTGGAAGAAATCTCTCTCGCGGTACTGCATCGCGCGCCCAACAACGGCGGACGAGAAACAAGGGCAGGGCAGAGCCTTAACTTAGAGAAACTTGAAATACTTTACTCGTGTCGAAAGTTCACGTGGGCGGTGGCAATGACTTTGTCTCCTGGATAACATGGCAACTTGCCAAGGGAAGGTCTCAGGAGGAGGCCTCTTCGTATTGCGTACCCTTTATCGCGTTTGCATCTGCTCGAACGCATCGAACCTGATTGGTCCCTTTGTAGGTCAATCATCTAGCCACTACAACTTTTACGAAGTCCGTACAATGAGACCCCCGTCGAGATCTCCTCTAAACCCGCGTTTTGTCAACTCCAAGTAAGTTTCTGTTAGCTCTTCCTATTTGCGCCCTGCACAGACCAGGGGGTTGGCTGAAGTGGAAACGGTACGAATGTTCCATCCTGCGACAAGCAGTGGGCATCAAGGCCTGCCGAATCTGCTGGTGGCCATGATAGAGTCGACGGCAGCACGCCAAAGCTCCGCCTCGTGGAATGACGCCGCGCAGCAAATCTCACATAATTCACTAGTCCTCTGCAAGCAGTACGTAAAGACCTTGACTGAAAGCATGCTGAAAATAGCGAAAGCGGGCCAAAGTTTCCTCTGTGATGACTGTTCGCGATTGTTGCCGTACTATCCCCGTCTTCTTTTGTACATCCTTCTGGTTTGACGCGTCAAGTAACCGCCTCAGGGATCCAAGTCAAGACGAGCGAAGCGTTCGTGTGATATTAAAAGCGCGGTGGCAATGACGACTCCACGCCAGATGGTGGTGCAAATTGCATGCACCGCCAGCAGGATAAGTACGGTCGGGTCGGCGAAGCCTGTGCGGCTTATGCGAATTTTCATATGCGCACTCATAAGCGTACCAACAAGGTAAGGCGCCGGAGCTTGAACTATCTCCTGTGGACCAGATTAGCGGGCCCCTGCTGCCAATCAAACACCAAAAAAGGTGTCGAAATGACGTCCCGCAGATTTCGTTTTTAAGACTGCTTGGGGGCGTAGTTTTATGCCAATATGGATCCAGGCACTGGGCAGCTAGCTAGGGAGAAGGTTGGCCGCGGCCTTAAAGATTCTTGTGCGGCCATCATGCATAGCGCGCAGATCCCACTTGGAGTCCAAAAAACGTAAGGCTCCAGATTTCTTCAACATGTATATGGCAGTCAAGAAGATTGAGTTTCGATGCAGTTTGCACCAATATATTAATACCAATATATCCTCCAACTCTAGGAAGCCTAGGATTCCAGATCGTTGAGATTTGTAATGACTGAATGCTTGTCATCTGGCTGTGCAGCTTCTGCAACTACTAGAGGAAAGTTTGTTCGTACTACGTCAGTGAAGGCTCGATCTATTCAAAGCAATCACTGGCGGGCTCATATTGTAACCGTCCTTTGACTGCAAGTACCCCGCAACGCCAGGTCACGAAGTAGCCCCTATGTCAAAAGTCTAGCTAGACTTATCCTGCCATCCACAACTGCTTATAACCACAGGGCGGCTTGGCTCCAAACCGGAGCTCAACAGGGGCCGAACCGGAGCATTCC